ATTGTGGTCCTGTCATGTGATGTTGTCGTTTTGGTGTTGTGTTTGACGTTGCCATAAAAGCGGGAGGTTTGGCATGCCACAAAACCAGGTTCAACCCACCATTTGTTTCTTAAAATGTCCTGTACCAAGTCAGGAAAATGGCCATTGTTATATTATAGTTCGTTTCTGTGTGTGTTACATTTTGATGTTGTGTTTTTGTTGTGTCGTTGTTCTCCTCTTATATTTGATGAGTTTCCCTCAGTTTTAGTTTGTAACCCGGATTTGTTTTTATCTCTATCGATTTATGAGTTTCGAACAGCGGTATACTACTGTTGCCGTTATCTAAAATTCAATCATACCGTTAAAGTGCTATTTTAAATTTGAAAACATCTATAAATGCATGCATAATGCAACTTCAATAAAGTATGGTTATATTTTTTACGTATTCTGTTAGCATAGGGTTGTTGAGAGTGATGACAATACTACTCACGATCAGGTATGTTACCACGAATCTTAACATGTTTAAAGAAACCTTCATTTAATGCGACGAAAATGTCATAGATGGCAATTATGTGGTAGAATATATAGTAGTTGGTAAATAGGAAGTTGATAAACTGGATCGGAAAGTGCAAAGCTCAGTATAACATCCTCATATAAAACCTGATACCAGATTTCCTAAACTGTGATTTGCACATTAGAAATGGGCGACTGATGGACAGATAGTAATAAAACAGTGAGGAGCGCGGGTATAACACCGACAATTAAATAAAAAAAAAAGGTCCTTATCAAGATAAAAGGAGCCAATAACAGTGTTGTGGTCTTTTGAAATTTACTGAAACAACGTACGGTATAGTTTTCGTTGTAAACCCAGTCAAATGTATTGTATGCAAATTAGTTTGATCGTATCAGAATATTATCATACATCTTTTTTCTCGTACAAAACACAAATTATTAAAGGTCTTTGTTATCATAAACTGTTATCTCATTTAAACAAGACATTACACTAAACACATCAAGTACTTTAATATGTTTATAAAAGATTCGATTTTATTGATTTATTCATTATTTTGAATGATTGTAATGTTAAAAAATTCTGAATTGCACATTTACATATACAAAAAGCAGTGCTAGTTTTGCTGCTATATTCGATAAATAGATCATTTTGGCCAGGAGACCTTAACATAGTCAAAGAAAGCGACGTTATATAAACTTAAGAACAAATGAACTTTTATATGAAAACTTTTTGTGTTTGCACCTTGACGAAACTACAATATGGAAATACTCAAAACTGAGATGAAAATTTGGATATCTTGAATAAGTCTAATTCGGTAGGTTACATTCGTGAAAAGGGGATTTGTAGTTACGACATTTATCAACTGTGAAACAAGTATTCCAAAACGTTTAACTAATTTGTGATGCAGATTAAAGAATAAAATTTGTAATTCAAGTTACATACATATAAAAATATACATACAAAAGGATATATGTGTTTCATCGAGGGAGTAGGTAACAAATGAGACCCTATGCATTAAGGCAATGATGATAGCTTGTCGATGCTCAAATCTCAAATCAATTCAGAAAATACTAATCAAGGTTCATACAAAAACATCCAGAGAATCGCAAAACACTCAAAAGAAAATTAATTTTAAACTTGAGAAGAAACTAAGTTTTTGGTTATAAACAAACAATCTGGACAAGCATATGCACAAGAAAAATTGAGTTTTCTGAGACGTGCTGGAATAGACAGACAATGTTATTCTAAAATATGTCCACCATTTAGAAATGATTTGAAAATATATATTAAGCATGGTTGTACTATAAGGGATTATTGCATTACGTGTACATAGTAATTATATAAAAGAATTACCTCCAGATGCTACAATGTAGACAAGAGTCCAATATCCCTCTTCATAACGAAACATCTTAATATACAAGAAAATTCACTACGCGAAAAACTTTAATACAATCAATTGATAAAATTACACAGTTTGTTTGTTTGGTTTTTTTTTTTTTTTTAACTTTTGTAATCCCGAAGCAGAGGTATGTTACAACAGGATCTTCTTGATATATATAAAGGCGTGGTCACAGGATGCAAGCGATCTTTATATTCCGTCCAATAAAAAAAGCAAATTTTCAGTCGATCAATTACTAGATATTAACACATTATATTATATCAATACGGGTTTAGTTGGATTTTAATATAAAATATGATGTCTGGCTAATCTTTTTTTGTCGTTTATTATTAATTTATGTTCAAGAAGGAGGAAAATCACAATGTTCAAAAAAAAATTTAAATTGTAATTTTACTTTTGTTCTGGCATATATAGCTGGGTTTTAATTTGTCAATTAAAAGGGGGGTGCCTCGGTGGCCGAGTGGTTTAAGAAGTTACTACTGTATTCACTAGCCAGTCAACACTGAGGTTGTGAGTTCAAACCCCGATCGTTCGGGTGCACTCGACTCCAATTTTAATTGACTAGGATTGTCAGTTTTCCTATCGAAGGTCGGTGGTTTGTTCCGGGCATTCCGGCTTCCTCCACCAATAAAAACTGGCCGCCACGAAATAGCCCAAAAGCGGTGCTTAAAAGTGGCGTTAAAACACCAAAAATCAAAATCAAATCAAATCAATTGAAAGGGCGCGTGTTTTGTCTGATATAGGACAGAGTATCAAAATAAATCTTGGTGTCTTAGGGCTAGGACAAGTCTTGTCATTATCAAACGAATCACATCTTGAGATAAACCATAGGCATTTCCTAAGTTTACCATCGAAATGTGCAGTAGGGTGGTCGTAAGACGAGTTTCTGATAATTATAATGTTAATGAAAATATCTATATATATACTAAACTAAGTCAAAAGTATACTTGTTTTCAATTTTTTTTTTAATCCATAGAATATATTTTCCATGCGTTCCCATTTGTTTATTAAACTTTTTTATAACAGATGTAAGATTATTTGGTGTTTTCTACACGAATACCAGACTACCAACGAAAGATGTCATAGGCAAGGTTACTGCACACGGACAAGCTGTCGGCAAATTAGAGTATGGGAAGACAATTAAGTCAATAGTGGTATATTTCTGATGATTTTGATAGAATAAAAGATAATAGTTTGAAAGAAAGTCTTCTGATAAACTTATCGATCCTTTAAATAAACTTATTCTAAAAGGTTACCAATTCAACACTACTATTAGATCTTTGAATATTGTTTTTATTGGTATTAATATTGATTTTGTTATCAGTAAATTAAAAGCTAACTAAATATTATTGTTATATACATATGCACATTCATGGATCTACAATCTGTCGGTACCTGTATCTTGGCATTGCACAAGGTCATGTTTTACACTAACTCCATTGGATGTTGGATGTGTAATGATTGATAATTTAGTCTTAGATGCATGATTTTTTTATTAGTTGTTATTGGCTTTGAACTAGCTGTCAGTACTCTCAGATATGTACTTAGTGTCTTTTTGTTGTTGGGATGTACAAGTACCCGGCCACGTCCACTCTGTGTTTTTGTTAGATGTATTTCTATTGTATCCATCTGATGAGTTAAGCCTTTTTCAACTGATTTTCATAGTTCGTTCTTATGTTGTACCGTTACACCACTATCCCAGGTTATGGGGAAAGGGGAGGGGGGGGGGGGGGTTGGCGCCTTCAAACTAGTTTAACCCCGCCACATTCTGTATGTATGTATCTGTCCCAAGTCAGGAGCCTGTAGTTCAGTATTGGTCGTTCATATTTTTTTGTACATAAATTAGATGAAAATACATTTTTTCATTGTTGGTTACAAATATGTGGTATCCACTAATCAAACGATACAAAAGAATACACGTTAAGAGGTCCACATATGGGTTTTAACAATAGACAAGTTTTTTTATAGATAAAACATCCAGCTCTTAATGTTCCCGAGCCTACATAAATTATTTGACAAATTAAATGAAAATTTGTCAATCAACAACTAAAAATTTAAAGAATGTGTCATAACAAAATTTAAAAAAAGACCTATTCATTCAGCAGAAATAATCTATCTTTCGATCATTCAAAAGAGGGGCGAAATTTACCAGAGGGACATGCAAATTCAATCATCGAAAATAAACTGACGCCATGGCTAAAAAAGAAAAAGACAAATAAACATATCATTCAAGGAATGATCTTTTCTGTTGCAGATCTATATGTTTTAATATTTTATTTTACCTGTAGAACTTTTTTTCCGAGATTAAATAATTAATGAAGCATCATTTCATTGTACCGCTGAATTTTCAAAAAAAATTTCATCAAACATCTCTCATTAATTTAAAGTGCCCTCTTAAAGACATTTAAATTGCGTTTTATAACGATGACATTTGTTCAGTTATTTGGTTATTACATTACATACATTTTGCAGCTACAAATCTTATTTCATATCTATTGGTAACTTGCTCGCACAAATGCAAGAACTCGCTGTATAATTCCCGACAAACATTTGTAAAAATGCGTTTGCTGCTTCCCTGCTTAACACGCAGCATTATTCAAAACAATGCGTCCTTATATGCATTTATTATTGCAACTGTACGTAAACCAACAATACCAACATATGCCAGTAATAATTCTAAAAGTATCAGGCTATTAATCGATGTATTATTGAATTGCACGTTCATAAGAAAGTACAATGATGTTCCTTATACACCATCATACGGTGTAAATGAAAAGTATGTAAAATAGCAAAAATACGGATCTCCATGGAAAATTCAAAACGGAAAGTCCTGTATAATATAACCAAACTCGTTTGCTATGTCCATGTCTGTAGCGTTGTTATGGATTTCAATAAAGGTAAGTAGTAATATGTTATTGTTTTCACTCTAGTGACAAACAGTCGAGTGAGGTAACCAGATGCATCTGATTGTTTTATAACCTAATAGTTTTCGTATTCTTATTCTTTTTCTTATTCTTATACAATAAAGGATCTTTGAGATAAACATGATGTCTCTTATATCATATGGCAAAACAGATATACAGGAACAGAAACAAATCGAAAAAATGAAACAGAAACAAATGTGTTTATTTATGATATCTATGACACGTTATTCTTTATAACAAATCTAATCATTTCAGACATCTTTCGCTTGAGATAAAAATAAACAAATATACATTATTTGTATATGTAATTACAAACCTAAACGTTAGCGAAATCAAAGGTAGCGAATCATGAAGTTAAAAAAAAAAGGTGTAATAATAATAAATTAATGCTGACGCTTTTATTGTGAACATTTTCCAGAAATGATAGATTTAAGTAGCCACGTGAATAAACTACATCCAGATGGTTCGTTTTCCTGAGCGAGATGTTCAAAAAATTTGGTAGTCAGAGAAATGTACACATGCAAGGAAAATTATGTTTCAGTCAACCTCTTGAATCGCAACCTGGACCTTATCGTCAGTTCCGATGTCGGCGATTTACAGTGTATTTTGATAACAAACGAGAAATATACCTTCATGAAAAAGTGGATCAGTATAGAAATTTAACCTTGCAACAGGCCACCTACAGACACTTGAAAAACTTGTATGCAATGGTTAAATTTTGCATAGACTGACACTCTCTCTACACAAGACATTGGATTTAAAGTCCCCATTATGACCAGACGTTTCTGCGAATTTCAACATCCCCTAGTCAAACGGACTCTCTATTTTGGCAAGGGTTTTACTGTTGGTAGAGAAATGAGTCAGTGATGTCCATATTTCTATATTTCAGTCAACTCAAGGATTTTTTAGAAGATTGTCATGTGATATACCGTAATTCTAGCCAGGGAGTTGCTGAATTTACATTTGTGGTTGAATTTCAAAAATCCATAATCATATAAATGTGAAGTATCCTGCTTAGTGCCCATCGGAATCACTTGATGAAGGGTCATTTATCACTCGTTTCTAACTTATAATTTGAAACATCATTAATTAATTAATTGATTTTATAAGAACAAAATGGTGTCCCTTTGTGATGAGCCGCATGATACCAGTTTTTTTCTTTTTCATTGTTCTCTCCTGTATATCCATGTTTTAAATTGTGTAATATGTGTTGTTTATTCTGCCATAGCATTTTTTGGCGTCTGCAAAAAAAGTTATTCATTATTTCAATACAACTTAGCATTTTTTTCGGATAATATTTGTATAAATTTTACAGATCGTTAACTGTGGATTCCTTTAATTGTTCGTGTATTTAAATGTCCTTTGTATTGCGCACGGTTAATTATTTTGATGATTTTGGGATGATAAATGAGACCAAAAACACTGGGCTTAAATCTTTTGTTACCGATATTATCCTTGTATTCGAGTACATGAGTATTGATTTCGCAAACGATCGACATCCCTAGTATTCATACATCCTTGCCTTTTACATATTTTGTTTGGACTTTTCTGATGAAGGTAAATTCAAAAATTGGATACACATAATTGATATAGTTTTTTTTTTATTTTCGTGTTATTGATATCAAATTAAAATATCACAGATTACGTAATGAAATTCAATGTAATTTGTCTGTAATCCACGTATTACTGAATGATTTAACTACTAGTAAAACGAAGAAGAACAACAAATGATGAAATCATTATTGCCTACAATTCATACCTGCCAAATATTGGACTTTACAAGAATGTCATAATGATGTTAGTATTGATATTGGAATTTGATTGTGACGTCATTAAAATGGAAAATTGACGATTTTTGTAAAACAAATAATGATTTTGGCTAAACAAGTGTAGAGTTCAAGTGTTGACCAGAATGGTTTCTGTTTGACAGTACATATACTGGCGGGGAAGAGGGTTGTGCTCTGAATTAGATCGTAGTATGTGTTAGTAGAATGTATAAGTTATTTAAAATGCACCATTTAACTAAATTACCAATATCTATAAGATTGAATTTGTACAAACTTCCTAAATGAATCGAAAAAAAATACATTGATGTATCTCTTTATTTATTTATTCGATCATTTATTTTTTTTATTTATATATTTATTCATTCAGTCATTCATAAAAAAATGAATTACTTTGTGAATTAATACATTCATTCATTCAAGAATTTATTATTAAATATTTAAAAATATACAATCACTGTGTGTTGATGACGTAAATATGTGGTTTTATTGACATTTGAAAAAAAAACTGATATTTACTGAGGCCAACGGCCGAAGTGAATATCATTTTTTTTTTCAAAAGTCAATAAAACCACATATTAAATAATATCGAATAAAACAATTGCTGGCTTTTGTTTGTTTCAAAAGCCAGTAATTGTTTTATTCGATATATCGAGAGAGTTTACTCAGAGAGAAATAAAATGTTATGAAAATCATTTTCTAGAACCTATTGTTCATCAAATGATTTTAAAAGCACGCGACATTTTGCGCGGTGAAAATATTTTTTCCGTGGTGAATATGCCTATTTATTCAAAATCCCATTCATATAGAAAAACTTACTTAAGTTTTATTAATATGGAGTGATAAACTGTGGATTCATTATTATTCTTTGGATACCATTTTCGTTGGTTTTGTGGGTACAGGTGAACCGAGAATTCAAATGTTCAACGAATTAAAAAAAAATTCTACAGGCCTTGTATGCACAAATTTGCAAAACCACGAAAACAAATATCCACGAAAATTGATAGCCAAGACAATAAATGAATCCACAGTATGAATACTTTTCAGAAATGTTCTTGGGTCATAAGGTTTTTACAACCATATAACTATCACTTCTTAATGAATTTTGCTTTACATATTATCACTAATAAAACTTTTAACTTTGGACCGAGTTAATTTGTCGCTGAATATTTCCCCTTTCCAAACGTTTTGTCCAAGTTAGCGAGGTGTCTTTTTGCTTTCATTTGTATTCTGCTTGGTACATTGTCACTGCAATTATACCTAATCCATTTATATTTCCCTTGTGGTATATTATAGTTTCTCCCAGCAATTTCTAATTGTTCAATTTCAGAATCTATCTCACTTTCTTGCTTTTTCCAATAGAGGGATAAATGTATGGGGTTGATATTGCGGTCATCTTTGCTCCTTGGTCGAATACTCCGCAATGCATCTTTCTCATATGTCTTAATAACGTTGATTTCTGTATTCAAACTGTACTTGTTAACCATGTCAGCTAGAAATAGTGTTTCTAATGATTTTTGAAGACGTTTGGCTTTTTCTTGTATATCCTTATCTGGGTGGTACTGATAAGCCCTAAGGAATGCATATGATTGCCCCTTCGGTAGAAACCTATTTCCTTCTTTGGACAGCTGATCACTTATCTCCTTCAATTGTGCTTTGATATCTTCTGTTCGTAATCGCATTATAAATGGAGATAGTCCGTCTTTGTCAAATCTGATATTGTGTATCGCATTTATTTCATCCTCATCTGTAATGTCTTCGAATTTAATATCTGTTTTATGTTTTCGTTCGATATCTGATATGATAGACTCGACTATTCCGTCAACTCTTCCTCGTCTTCTTTTCGAGGGAGCTTCATCTATATGGTAATTGATTTCATCTTCAACTCTTTTTTCAAATTCATTTAACGAGTTGCTTTCCGTCAGTTTTCTAAAAACAAAATATATAAAATACATTGTACGAGAACAGTTTTTCAAACTAAGACTTTATATACATCTTGGCCTATAGTGAATTGTGAGTCATTGAAGATATTCACAACTTGCTTAATCAATAATTATTTTTTTCTAAATTTGAAGGTAAGCAGATAATAATCAAGGAATTAAATTACCGTTGTTGATTATGATACACTGTAGGTATCAATGCTGTAACGTCATTACTAGCGTATTCGATCATTTCAGCTGTTAATGGTCTGTTAGCCCATAATTCTCCATCTTCTTTCGTCCATTTAATCTAAAAATATATAAAGATAAGTTAATGGTAAGAACGGAACTATTTATTTTTCAAAAGTTAAAAAAAAAACATACAATTTCTTTAATACAAAAAGAGAGTTGATAATCAGACTGAGCATTTTTAATATGAAAACAGCCTTTTGTAATAATTTGTAATTTTTATATTTTTATAATATTCTTATAAAAAAAAAAGAGAGAGAAAGGGGGGCATTTACGCAGGTAGGTGAATAGTTAAAAGGTCAAATAAAAAAAATTCCGAACTCTGAGGAAAATTCTAAACGGAAAGTCCCTAAGCAAATGGCAAAATCAAAACCTCAAACACATCAGACAGTGCATGAGAAAGGAAGTTCCCTGTCTATGAAATGTATTTGTTCATAAAAGATGTATTGAAATATTGAAGTACTTCAAACACATACATTGTTCATAGTTTAAATTGTGCGATTCGAGTATGTATCATATAGAGAAAAGAAAAGGGAAATAGTGCATTGTATTTTGGGAAAGGTATATAGTGTATGTGTGCAGTGGTATGGCTAAAGTTTGAAGTTACGTCATTTAGGGATGTACGTAAGTAGGTTAGACGAAGCTCTCAAAAAAGGAAAAATGACTTTAAGGGCATTACCCAAAATGTTTCGATTTATATTTAAGAGCTGGTAGCGAGGCGGTTTATATATATATAACTTTTAAATAACTCGAAATATTTCTTAATAAATTCACTGAATTGTGTTAGATTTTTGAACAAAATTTGAAACAATATAGCACACATTTCTAATTTTTGTTTTTATTGATAGTCCTTCATGTTTTATTAGCTATATGTTTAATTAGGCTGTAAGCCTTTAACTTAATATAAGCCATGAACAGATCAATCGTCATGCTGTCTATTGGTATTATTTGTTATCGCATACTTCGAAATAATTTATGAATAGGTTACTGTAAGAAATTTAGTTCAAAATTTAGAACGGAAGAACACTGTTCTTAACGGAATAACGTATTTTTAAAATAAATAGTACCATGTTTATTGACAAGTTCACAGATTACGATGGATATGTTCCAATCGTCGTCACGACCATCCAATTTTCTTTTCCTCGAATTTGACATCACAGAATAAGACATAATCAGTGAATTCGTACTTACATTAGTCGCACGGCAGCTGCCACATTAAGACAAGTACCTGCTTTTCCTGTCAGAGCACCTGATATCATCCTCGGTTTTTTGTAGGGTTCGTGCTCCTTAATCTTTATTTTTCTCCGTTGTTTGTTTGGACTGTGGTTTTATCGTTTGTTTGTTTTTCAATGTGACGTTGTCATCAGTGTGTCTTCAATTTGGGGATTTAATATTCTTTTGATGTCTCCTTATACATGAAATCGTCTAACTTTGCATACAGATTCTGAATTTTGAAAAAAATCATAAACATCGATTTTTGAGGGAAAAATTTAAATGTTAGTGTCAAAAGGATCTATTTTTGTATTATTTTTTTCTCTATTTTTTTGTCGTTTTTTATTTTTTAAACCAACAAACCATCAATTTGTCCTTCTGTTCGAGAGGTTCCGGATTGTCACCATATCTTTGACATACATCGCATAATTTAATGGAAGACGGCAATCTTCGTCCTCTGCTTTCCTCAATGACAAGATGAGCCACCTGAAATAAATATAGCTATAAGCTTGTACTGCTTACTTAGTTCGTAGTTCGAGCTTTTTAACCTTAATTTAATTAAGTTAATGAATTGCTGTATTGTGGACTTTTCTTTGTAATTTCATGTTTGGAAAATGTTATTGTATATCCTTCTTTGTAATAATTTATTATTTTATTATTACATAGTTGGTATTGATTGCATGAATGAAAATAAGGATCGTCAAATATAGTTTCTATAAATTATATTAAACTGTACTCTATAACTAGGTACTGAACTGTATTTTTTTTTTTGCAATTTTTTCAGTATTTATTTTTGCAACAAAATAAAAGTGGCAATAAAGAATCTTTGCATGTAAATTATTGTGTATGATAACATTTGTATTTATATATTTAGAAAGAGACTTGAATCCACTTATAACTGCAAGGGTGGTATTTTTCGATACATGGGATTTTCTTTTGAAATAGCATATAGGACGTATTACTCACTTTTCAATTAAATTTAAAACCCCCATTCACGTTTTTAAATCGTACTGCTTAGATATGCCTTATTTGAAATACTTTATTTATCAATAGGATCATTCTGTTAACATGAAATATGTGTATTATAATATATTGATCTGTTTATGTTTTATAGCATGTGTTCGTAATAAATATTTAATCCAGAAAAGCGCTTCGGACGCATGAAATTAATAACGTGTTGTTTTCATTTTTAATTCAATTTTAACTCGACACGTTCATTAATACTTCCCAATTCCCATTGTCGTCTTTTTTACACCAACCTGTGTGTCAAACACATTTTTCAGTTTTATGCCAAACTGATGAAACAAAGCAGCACTGTCTCCGGCACAGGAGTGTATAACCTAAAATGGGAAAATGTAACATCAAGATTTATTCATTTAAAAAGTCATTTAGTTGTTAATAATATGTTTTCTAATTATATGAGATACCTTGTGGAAGACCATATTATTATTGAGAAAACACTTCAAATGAATTTAATTAAATCTTTATAAGGTAAAATATAATGTATACATACATAGGTTATACACAAACAATTTTGTAATGTGATATAAGTAATGACTCTTTATTATAGTTTTTCTCTCGCTCTTCTATTCAAATCATTTCCCAGGTAGCATTCACCTCAGAATTAATATGGATATACTGTGAGCTTTTTATAGGACATTGTAAACATTGCGTTGATTACCTTTCAGAAACCTTCCCCTGAGACCGAAACATGTTTTTATTAAAATGTAAACATGCCTGAAAGTGCCAGTAGGTCAACGATATGAATCCAAGCAAAGACCAAAAGTGTTAAACTATCAAATATTCAACTAAAAATGAAGCAAACAAGCTATTTTGTGCAAGCCAGCATAACCATGGTCCCAAGACAAACAAAATACAATGATAATACAATCTTATAAAAACTCAGTGTCATCATTAGACATTTCTAAAATTATAACTAACAAGTTGAAATTAAAAGCAAAGTGCTTTCGCAACAAAACAAATGTTAAACATTATTCATAGTAACGAAACAAAACATGTATTATTCCAAATTAGATAAAAGGATTGACTTAGTAAATTCAAACGACATATGGGCATATTACAAAACTAGATAAATAACTGGTTTCGAAAATTAATTTACCTTTACTGTCTTTTCAGATTGTAATAGATCTTCTAAGTGTCCTTTCTTAAATAAGTCTGGCTTTGATTTAATATCAAAAAGATAAACTTTGTTGTCCACGGTTCCGATCTGTAACAGAGTCAAGGGGCCTTCTTTCCCCAAATTAACTCCTTCAGCGTCCATGGCTATAAAGTCATGCTTTGATAATTGATCAACGATACGCAAACATCTATCTGTTTCTGTAACTATCTCTACATTATTACTGGAGGCCATGACTCAATTCTGCAACAAAATTTTCAAAAAAATAGTGTTTAAATGAGTCTTCACAAAAGTGTCAAAACGGTATGGCAAGCCTAAATTCTCACACCCTAGAAACGTTGTGAATAAATAGATATTTCACATTTCTGTTGTGAAAATTATACAGTTGTTAAATTTTACCAAAAAATAAGATAAAAAATCTAAATGTCAAACATCATACCTCCAAAAACTTTTTTAACATTTTTTCATTTGTCCATCAAATTTTATTCGGTGTTGCACATTGCTGTTGAAAACAATCTAAACACAGAAGTGCAACTTTGCCATACTTTTATATTCAATGAAATTCTTCAAAATGTATGAATTCAAACCTGTAACATTTGGATGACAATGTTTGACTTTTCTGACAGAAATTTGATTAGTTAAGAAAGGTTTTTTTTCCATTCATCCTAAACTTAAACCAAAAGGTATCAAAATTGCAATTTTCAGCAATCTTGAAACAACAAGTAAAATTACAACAAAGTTGTAAATATAACGGAATTTGATGAGACTGTCGTACAAGTGAGAGGTTTAGCGCTATAAAACCAGGTTCTATCCACGATTTTCTACGTTTGAAAATGCCTGTACCAAGTCAGAAATATGACAGTTGTTGTCCATTCGTTTGATGTGTTTTGTCATTTGATTTTGCCATGTGATTAGGGACTTTCCGATTGAATTTTCCTCGGAGTTTAGTATTTTTGTGATTTTAATTTTTACATCGTCTGAAGCGCTTTTCTGATTTACTCCATCAGGAACGCTCAAAGGCAATTTTTTAAAGGCAAGGATGTATAAGAATCGAAAGGGTTTAAGATCAACATTACCAAAAATGACATACGAAAAATAGCCAAACTCACTTAAGGTCAACTTTGCCAGGCGAATTGGCAATATGGTCACATTTATAGAAAAAATTCATGACATAGATAAACCTATGTATTCACATAAAACCACAATACTGTCAATTTAAGTAAAGATTGAACGATTTTTGTAAAGGTAGCTAGTATGAATATCTTGAGAAGAAATGGCGCTCTCTCTATAACATAGATATGCTGTTTTAAATTCATACTTCTCTTAGGAATAAAATGTCACAACATACAAGAATCTTAATATCAGAAATAAAAAAGAGAAAATAACTTGTGGAAAGGAAAAAAATTTTCAAAAAATAATTGGGAATATCAATGTAAGAAATTCAAATGTCAATGTGAACGTGTCAGAGACAACGACTACTTCTAACGTGTCGGGTAAATGAAGAGTAAATTCATGGAAAAGTGTCATTAATTAATGATATAATTATTTCCGAAAAATATACAATGCCCTTTAATTTTAATTGCTGTTGTATATGTCTCACAGTAATAGATTCTTTAATAATAGTTAACAATCTTTGTTCAGGAAGAGAACTATGAGCTTTGAATAGTCATTCTAACATTTGATTCAGATTGTGGTTACTCGGAATGTTTATGTTAATGCCTGAGAGTCAAAGTTTGGTTTTTAACAATAGACAAGTGTGTATGCAACATGACATAACATTAGCTTTACCATGCTATGCGGCTATATAAATTTTTTCGGTTTCATATTTGATTTTGGTTTATCAAAATCTTTTATTATTGAACCTGTGGTGAACCTGAATTACAAGTCAGTTGAGGAGTCAAGTGGGGACAACAGAATTTTTCAATTTTACACAATTGTATCTCCTTGCATTGGACCCTGAATCAGACCATGCAAGAAGGGTCCTCAACAATACTACATATATTTGTATGTAAATAGTTTGAAGACGATGTAAACGTACATTTTGGAAGAGAAACAGTTTTATCTTTGAGTCAGACAACAAAAGTTTGATGATCAACTCAACTAATGCGTAATGTAAGTTTCCAATTTTCGGTATACTGTTTATCTAGAATATATTAAATGTAAACGTAATATAACCTTACTAGATTATCACAAACAGGAAAATGTGTCCTACCTACTAAAGATTTCCTGTATTTCAATTGTTGGGTGACGACACATGGAGAAGGTGTATTTTGTTACTACAATGCGTTATCGATCTTGATTTGCCCGATTTAAGCTTAAAACGGCATCAGTTAAACATTCAAATCAAGTAGTATATACTAATATTTTGTTGCATGTAGGATATATGAAAACGAAGAAGTGATATGAGTGCCAATGAGACAACTATCTATGTATTTATAACACTGATACCCTATACAATATACAATAATCATCAGATACAAATGTTTAAAAATAAAAAAATCAATATTGGCATGTTTCCAAATCTCAAGTTTCTAAAAATGTAAACGTCTCGTTTACAATTGATATAGGACAGCAAATTCAAAACAATATGTACCGTTTGACTTTCCAAAAACTATGTTTATTAAATTCAAAAAATATTGATCGGTAAATATTGAAAATATTGATCGGTAAATATTAAAAATATTTCAACTTTGATTTAATGTCAAGAATTTATGAAAGTATAATACACTTTGTTAAAAACCATATTTTTAAATACTCTTTTTGTAGTACCCATAAAACTTTAACTATTGATTTTATTAGTTTATGAATTGAAAAAAGTGGTATTTAACTCGATTACAAAACGTCAAAACAAAAATGATAAAGGGAATCAATTTATTATGATATTTTAAATATCTGTGAAGGAGGAATTTTTAATAAGACGTTTTGAATAGTGATTTTGTATTTTTGATTCAGATATATTATCATAAACGTTATGTTTGATATTCATTGATTTTCTTCTTTTTTTTCTTTTTTTTTTTATTATGGAAAAGTTACTTTGAATGCATACAAATTGAATCGTAGGTACAAATTGTTTGGTTCAGGTACCAAAAATGTATTTTGTAAAGGACATTTGATATGAATCAAATATGAATACTCACGCTTCCACAATAGAAACGTGTTTACCTAATATGACAAGCTCCCTCAAAAGATATCTATGACACTTAGGCTATATGGTCTTTCGAATAAAAATTGAAAACTTTGCATTGCTCTGTAATATAATTAAAGATGGTGATGCCAAGTTAAAACGACACTAGAGTCATCAGTTATACTTCTTGAAGGGATCGTATATTATACTTTCCCTAATCTTTGGTAACAATTCGTTACTAAGATAATTTTTCTATAGTGAACTTCGTTGTTGAATTACTTTTTGTACTATATTAGCCATGCAAGCTCACACTAAATTAAAATGCAAAATTTGGAATAGGAAACAATCGGTAAAAGATAAGACGACTATTCAGCTGGTATCTTAAGATCTAAGCATGTAAAAACATGTCACTGGGGACATTTCGTATCGGTCAACCACACATAACTTTGAACAAATACAGTACTTAGTGATACCGACGAATTTTGTCTATCTGGTCCATGTTATTTTAGTAGGGACGATTTTTAAAAGTAATTATCCGACCAACAACGGACGTCAAATGATCGATGACAAATATTGTCAAAGGACGTCAAAATAACAAAAATAAATAATATTTAGCATAATGCTACGTGTCATAGTACTTTCTTTGTGGTTATTTAAAAATATACTAAATCGAAAGCAATTAACTCACCTTTTTGGATAGTCCCGTACACAATACTATATATATAAATATATATATATCAAATAACCAATTGTTTATAACCAATATTTACAAGTATTCAAATGTATTTTTTTTTGTCCTGCATTTATCACAGAAGGAAACATTAGATAAGAAAATAAACGTATGACTTTCTGGAAACCGTTTTTTATTGAATACCAAGCAATAATACACCTGACGTCATTGATTTATCATATTAAAGTTTTAAATTATCAAATAAAAGAAGAACGTGTCTGGGGACACGAATGGCCTTGCTCTCAAGCTTCATGCAAGCTAAAAGGGATGGACGAAAAAACGGATGGACAGACAGTCAAGGGTACCACTTAATGCCCCCATTGACTACGGCGGGGCATTATTTAAAAAATGTCTTTCTTGAAATTTAATCAACAGCAATACATATTTCTGTTGTAAAAAAAGTTAAATGTCAATTTGCCGGAAAACAAATGAATAATGAGCAAAAAATAAAGACCTTAATTATTATCTTGTGTTGTCTTATCTTGTACAATTTTTAGGAAACTTCTAGTTGAGCATGTGCAAGAAAACAATCCAACTTCGATTTTTGCATATCGTTAAAGCAATTATCTTAATTACAAAAATTTGACATAAAAAAAAGTACAAATTGGCTTTATGATAATAATAATGGTGTCAAGATGGAGAAGAAAATGTTAGTGCGTATCATAAAAATCTTAAACAAGATTTTCTTTATTTATTTTTAGAAATGAAAAAGGAAAGACAGATATTTTGTTCAACAATGACGCAAACCAATTTTCGTCTGTATTGTCTCAGCGATATAAGGACGATTCAAAAGAAAAACGTTCGACGGACGACGAACGCTAAACATATGTGATTGCTCACACTGAATAGGAATGTTCATACAACATTTGTCATTGGAATATAAATTTAAATTATAGCATTCTTATACATGTCACAAATACTGTGTGTAGTATTATTTTTATAATATATAAACTCAAAATAATTTACCTTGCCTTTTTGGATATTCTCAAAACAAGACTTAATTCATCAAATGACAAAATGGTCAATAATCAATATTGGCAAGTTTCCAATTCTCAAGTTTTAAAAATGTGATATATATCGACATCCAATTATCAATGTTTAGCGAATTTTAGAAAATATATTAAGTTTTATTTTCTGGAAACCATGATGTTTTAAATCCTTAGCATTGATCTGCATAAATAAAATATACCTCTTTTGTTATACAATTTTAAATATTTATTCAGGTATAAAGATATTTTGTAAACGTATTTTCGAAGTACATATTATGACGTCAATCATTTTTAGAAAAGCGATTTTTTTTTTTTGAACTACAAATGTATATGTTTTGTACAAGTTATCATTTTGTACAAATTATAATTTGGATAAAAAGTGTTGTAATACTTACAATCTGTACAAAATTTAACTAAAATTCTTTTACAACTTGTACAACAATTTAAAGTATGGATTTTGTTATAACAAAGCATTGATACACACTATAGAATTTTTATTCAATGACCACAAAATAAACCTTTTATACAAAATACCTAGATGGAGACAGGAAACGTTAATAATACATGCATGTAAGTTAATTCTGATAGTATATAGAAATTGGTCCCAGAGACAATTGTAAAAAGATAATAGAAATTTGCCTCAGTGGCAATTCTTATAATAATAGAATTGGCCCCAGTGACAATTCTGATAGTATGATATAGGCCGGTTACCAAAGTCGGAATTATAAAAGTTTAATCGTCAAAAATAATACACGGCTATATCATATATCATTCGATTCGAAAATATGTGTACTTTGAAATTAATTTGGTCGTCAAAAGAAAATATGGTGCAGTTTTTCAGAAATCAAGATCAAAGGTCACATGTCGTTTTCAAAGAAAAACCAAAATTGAATATCCAATTCCAAATTAGATACCCTTTTTGCAGTAGAATGATTGAAAACTTTAATCTGTTATTCAATTCAATTTTTAATAAAAAAAAAAAGTGGAAACCCATCATTAAATAAGTCTTCCGAGAAAACGTTTGCGACTTTACAAAATGGGGAATGGTTTTCAGTTTGAAACGATGTATTTATTTGTTAATATAACTATCTATTCAACCCCAATGAAAGTGGAAACTTGAGTTTTGGGCATATACGTTGAACTCGGTACATGCAAACTGGCAACAAAAATTATTTCAAAACATACTTATAATGGAGTTTAAACAATGTCATGACGTTTTGTATGGAATAAAATGTATTAATTGGATTAAAAAACATTACAAAATAGACTAACAACTTTAAAAAGACATTTTTTTGATAGAACCGCCTTTTATTCGTTAAAAAATTGAATGTTTCGCTTATTCATCCCAAACTAAGTGATACAAGATAAGAAATTTTCTTCTATGCAGGATGGTTTAACCTCGCACTAAATATACGTAACTTTAATAAGTAATTCAGATCTTAATGACTTTTTTGTATTATGGGAACGTTATTACAATGTTCTAACCCTTGGCTGGAATACATATGGTCGTACATGGAATGTTTAGCAAATCTCGAATACCAATGTAGGTCCAAATTGGTTAAAGAAAACGACAAAATTCTTAAACCACAAATTCTATAATATTGCAAATATGAATGTTAAGCTTCTGACTTTTAACCTGTTGTGCATTGGAATAGAGTGGTGGTCAAATGTTTGTGTACCACATTTAGCATACCTTTATCCAGTATCATTGGACATTTCAAAACATTTTGTCATTGCAAATGCACTTTGGCCATATCAAACTAAAATTGGGGGACACAAAACATCTGTAAAATTGGGGCGCCTCTAGTACAAATGTCATATGAACACTGTCCAGAAAGGAATGGTTTGTCCTTCTGCTCTCAACTCTAAAAATCTCTCAACAAAAGTCAAGAAAAAACCATCTCTGATCGACAGTATACACTTGCCATGATCACATGATTGTAGCCTGTGGAATGGTTGTCGTGATCGTTCTGGCCTACAGTCTTTATAATTGATTTGATATCTGAACTAGGGTTAGCATCGATATCACACTGCTGATGGTAATAAACTTGTTTCTGTAAATTTGTCTTTGTAATTAATGAATATAGTTTGAATCCCAGTAAAGGTTTACAGTGGTTGTATGACAAGTTAGCATTAAACAACCTTTACTTGAATATATTGCTTTAGAGTGAGTAATCCCTTGTCTTGGTTGTAGCTTTTTTATAACAATATATGCAAGCATATGAAAATATATAAATCGATTTACAAGAGAGACGAAAGATACCAGAGGGACATTCAAACTCATAAGTCGAAAACAAAGTGACAACGTACGACATGGCCAAAAAATTAAAACAGTAACAGACAAACAATAGCACACAAAACACAACCTTTGATACCCGTGACTTCGATTTCTTGACTTGAACCGGCTGCAATTTATCTGTATGTCTCTAAGAAACATTATATGCAACAGTAGTTTTCCGATGTTCATTTTTATTCAAACAAAAATTAGGGGAATTCAAAGAACTTCAAAAAGAGTTCAGATCGGTCGCGTCAACAGCATGCTTCACGTGCCATGTGAATCAAAATTATCAACATATTACAAACAGGAATGGCAAATGGCAAATTTTCAGATCTGATCTGATTCTTAGTATTTAAAGATCTTTAACCGCGAAAAGATGATGCTAGTGAGTTGAGACACGGTAAAGATTAAAGGTAACATTATTCGTGATGGTGACCTAAACACTTATTTTGTGTCTATTTCAGTCGCCGGTTCTTCCTCATGATTCAGCAAATCTGTATTTCCACGTTCGACTGACTCAGGTGTCACATGTGGAGAAGAATCTGCTACGACCTCCGGGGCACACGAGATAACCCCCGTTTTCAGTAAGGTTCGAGTAGATCTTTTGTCTTCCATGTAGTGTTTTGTAAATTTGTATTTGTCTTTACGTCGTTCTTTGAATTTTGCCATGACGTTGTGATATTAATCGACTAATAAGTTTGAATATACCTTTGATATCTGTGGCTTGTTTAAAGCATTTTTATGTTAGAAGCACAACCCTGTTCATAAAGTTTGTGTTGTGTCAACATGCACGAGCTTAGGGTATCAATTGAGATATGTAAACACCATACGATGGCGTAGATGATATAGTACTATAGAGACATGGGGAAATTGACAGTTGGAAAGTTAAAATAGTCATCCAAAGTTTGTCATAGACTTTTGTTTGAAGTCGTCAATCTGTATCAATATCAAAGAAATGTATTATGAAGTGAAATTAAACTTTTTTAATATTCGACTTTTTCCTATTCCGTCACCGCACTAATAGACATTGACCCCAGTGACATTCAGGATGACACAAATTAATTTGTACAAGCACTTTTTGTACAAATTACAATTTGCAAAAGTCAAATACAAATTATAATTTGTACAATTTCTTTTGACAAATTATAAGTTGTACAAAATGATAACATGTACACAGCATATATATGTATTAAATCGATGAAAAAGTCTAAACGGAGCTTATTTTTCTTGTTTCTGTCATTAATATATCAATGAACAATATTTTCAGGCAAATACACAGTTTGACAACGAAATAATTTATTTTTTTATCTATAGATCTGTGTTGTCTATGCAACTAATGCCATTTTCCCGAAATTGATATAATCAAACGCCCAAAAAATCCGTGTTTGGAAGATATTATGTAACATGGAACAGATTTATTTATACCAAATATTTATGTTTACAAGAAAAAAAAACTTATTATTGCACTGCCCTGAGCAAGTTAAGTGTTGTAGAACCTGTCTACACATAGATTCGGCATTGCTCAAGTTCATGATTTTCTCAGACTGCTACTGGCGTCTTTACATTCGTTGAAAGTCGTCGCTTGTAACAACTTCTTCTTCTGGTTCGTCTTATACAACCTTGTTATATTCCAAACTACCTCTAGACAACGAATAACGATGTTTGGCATCAATGGGTATTGATGCAAGATGGTTTGTCGCGTGTAATCATAACCTTTATGTAATATTGACCTTGGACATCAAGGACAAAAGACTTAAATTTTCTTCGACATTTTGTTCCAATTACTTTTTTATCATTTGACATAGTGTTTTATATTGGCACATACGAGTAGCACCTTGTGACGATGTGTTGCGTACCACGTAAGATGATTCTAACTTTGATGTAAAAAAAAAACCACACAATTGATTTTTATATGTTCATCACAAAACCGTTTTTCATTCTTACTTTTCTTTTTGAATCCATATATAATCGTGTAAAGATGACGCGTTACTATGAAATATCTATTTGTATCATAGGGGGAGTGGGGTATATAACCACTAAGATAAATATCAAAATTTATGATCACATATCTTTTCGCTCAAGTTTCGATCAACAGTCTGTATAAATTAAAGTGACAAGAATTGAATATGATACTGTTAATGGCAAGTTGTTTTTATCTTTCGAAGACTCTAAATGGCTGAAATAAAATCTGATTATGTAAAAGGTTACAGGAAGTTCTATGAATTAATATATGTTTGATGTTAAAATGTATGTATAAAGAACAGTTATATAGTTCATACCAGAAGATATAGCGATACAACATACACTGTTTCTTTTTATAATGCAATTAAAAACGACAGCTAGTATTACCATTTCAATATTTACCTTTAATTCTGCGAGATGTATACATCCATGCCCCAATTATACCAATCACCATTTATCATTGTATGGTCTACATTCTTCAATACGCCACACATCATTTCTCTTTATATTTTACTCGTTGTGTAGATTTTTTTTCAACAACATACGAGGGCTATACTTGTGTAATGTGTAATTTTGTATGTTGTAAACTTTCTTTCTTATGACAAACAAAATAAACAAATGTACTTTACTGAGGAAGGATGGCTGATTGGTTGATTATTTTTGTTTACCTTACATCTAGTAGCAAATGTTTTACTAGTATTCATACTCTAGAAAAATCAATGCAATAGGTAACTTTAAATCTAATTTATATTATAAATTCATTTATGTCTATGTGGACAACTTCTGTTTGAATTAAACAGTCAATTTGAACTGAGTGTAAATGGC